TACATGAACTAAGAGCATTTAGTGGGCGTGGTAATATGAGCTCACCGTGTAAGTATATGTAGTGAATTCAATGTAGGACACGATGGGGAATAGGGTCTAGTCCGAAATCAGAGTATCAAGGGGGAACGCGGAATGTCAAGGCCGAGCTTCGGCGTTTCTCCCGAGCATTGGAAATTGTGCCAATCCACTTCGAGTCGGTGACCTTGCAGAGAGGCACTCAATGGGCTGACCTTAGGTGTGAAGTGCGTGCGACAAACAGGGTGATCTTACTTGTACTATATTACTAGTTCAATCGACTTCTAGCACCAAAACATGCTTGAGAGCTTTGAATCTAGTTTACGGTGAAGAGCCTTAAAATGTGTATAGCTACTCAGTGCAGGTTTACTAGATAGGTAAGAGAAGTCGAATCATGGTTGATTATCAACAATCGGCCATTATACACAGCCATTTACTTTCCAATCCTCAGCGCGACCTTTCTAGCGATCTGCTTGTTAAACATATCATAGCCAATAGCGGCCTCTGACAGAGGAAGCTCATGGGAGAAGAACTCAGCCAGCTGCTCCTTGTAAGCCTGGAGTAGGCCAAGAACCTCACGAAACACTTGACGCGCAGGAGCACGGCCGAAATTTATTCTACAGATGAGTCAGTGATCTTGGGCTTGGAGAAGGTTGACTTGCTACTTACGTTACGTTTTTCAAGTAAGCTTCTAGGGCAGTGAAAGGCAAATCGCCCTGATGAAATCCAACGGATGAGATGAATCCACAAGGTCGAACCAGATCATAGGCTGACCGGAGAGCAGCTCGATTGCCCACAACTTCAACAACAGCGTCGGCACCTCTGCCCTCTGTGGCGTCAAGTATAATTTGCTTTATGTCATCTCGTTCAAAGTTGAGAGGCGTGGCCCCAAAACGTTTTGCTTGTTCAAGCCGGTCGTCTACCGTATCAACGGCGTAAAGGTGCCGCACTCCTTTAGATCGTGCTGTAAGCACTGCGCAAAGGCCCACTGGCCCACAGCCGATGATCACAAAAACACTATCGCTTATATTCTGTTGTTTGAACTCGGCAGTGGAAGCCGTTTGGTCTAAGCTCTCGGACTCAGAAGCGAAGAAACTTGTTGCTCGTGTCACGCCATAATAACCAGTAGGAAATATATCCGACATCATAAGCAGCGTTTTGTCATCCATCCCATCGGGGGCGGGAAATAGAGTGCCATCTGCGTGTGGGATTCTAACATATTCAGCTTGCGAACCATCAAGCAGTTGGCTTCCATAGGAAGCACCGCCGTTTGTGCAACGGTTTGTATAGCCATGTGTACAATACCAACACGACATACTGTAACGCGATCAGAGACTTATGACATTTAAGTGTTGAGATTTGGCTTACTAACCAAACATCAGAGAAAAGACAAATGACTCTATCACCAGGCTTCACTTTACAAACTCTGGGGCCAATCGATTCAACTATGCCGACCGCCTCATGACCCTAAAGAATGTAAGTCGAACACGCTTCAGACAAAATTTTTCGTCTCAGGGGTTGTACCACAATATGGCCGGTATTTGTCTGTTGATGACCCCTGTACATGTGTAAATCACTATTTACATTAGGATTGTTAGGTCAATCAAGCACTACTCCGATACGCCGGGGAAGTAGCGGGACATACCTCCCACATATCCCGGCAACAGAAACTTTAACAATCGCATCATTAGGACCTTTGATCTCAGGCTTAGGTCTTCGTTCCACCGTCATCTGGAAGGGCCCGGAAAAAATAACGGCGTCCATAGTCAGCAAAATGTACTTGAACAAGAGCTGTATCCTCTCTGTTGGCATCGAGTCACAGGGTCAACTTTTGATTGTGGCAAAGAGATGATGCGTCAACTCATGATATAAGTACAAGAGAGGTAGACCATCTCTTTTTGGTTAGATTCCTAAAGACTACCATCGGTGAGTTGAGTCCGGACCTTCCGCACCGGTCCCGAAGATCTTGTGGGGCGGGTGCTACCAGCGACTCCGTCCCCATACGACTCTGTCCCCATAGGTCCATGAGTAGGGGTATATGATCCAACGACGAACGCGCACAGCTGCCCTTAATATCTTTTCTATTCCTTCCAGGCCCTACTCAGCGACTCAGTGACGCATGTGAGGTTGAAGCATCTTATTAGTATCTTTCTCAATCGTATCAATCAGAGTGCAGTACGAGCGCATTGCTCTCGGCCATCAACATGGGCACACAGGTACTGCCGACTCATTCACTTGCAGCAGCGGGCGTGCCTGCTTTCAGATGTCCTCCCGGTACCAAAATGTATTTATTGGACTTGGGAACACTACGAGCAGACGAAGCTTGGTATGAAACTTCCAAAACGAACGTGGCTAGGTCTTGTTCGATTGACCTATACTGAACAGGCTACTCCGAGGAGCAAACACTACAACTCTTAGCAATCCAAATCCCCAGTCCAAAACACGCGATTTAGCCTTACTAGCATGTCTGATAGATCATCCTAGCGCTGGACTTATTCTTTACGAGACTGGTTGCGCCGAAGACCTTGACATTGTGAGCTCATTCACTTCCAATTGAATCATCAGGTTTACTAAGAACCCATTTTCAAGAACTGGGGAGCTCCTCTCACAGACGTATTCCCTAGAGTTGAGTATAGCGAGGCACAAAAACTGCCAGCCGCTATAAAGGCTACTGGAAACGACATCAAGGATGTCAAGGCCGTCATTATTGGCCACTTGCACCTGGATCATGCCGGCGGGCTTGAGCACTTCATGGGCACTGACGTTCCCATATATGTGCACGAAAAAGAATTCAAACATGCCTGCTGGGCTATAGCTACTGGCGCAGACCTTGGCGTTTACATGCCGCACTACATGAGCCTAGAACGTTTGAAGTGGGAGACCTTTAACGACGAACACTTAGATCTCTTCGAGGGCATCACTCTACATCACTCTCCAGGTCACACACCCGGGTTAGTGATCATGCAAATTAATCTAGAAAAGGATGGTACCTTCATCTGGACCACAGACCAGTTCCATATTGCGGAGAATTATGAACTGAAACATCCTCACGGATGGTTAGCGAGAGATCACAATGCTTGGATCCATAGCTTGAACATGATCAAGCGACTCCAACGACTCTTTGATGCACAATTGATATATGGACATGATAAGAATGTAGCTGGGAGATTGCTAAAGGCCAAGACATTTTATGAGTAGTAGGAAACAGCACGGTGGCCCGATATATGTTTATGATTCCTCTTAGACACTATGGCTTTGACATGGTATTGGTATACTGCAATGCTTTTCAGATTTCATATTTCCCGCAATTAGCTGTCGAATTCTTTCATTGTAACAACATGCATTACTTCTACATGTGAAAATACTTTCTCATAGTTGCTTCGACGCGAATTAGGGGTAAACATGCCCCGTCAAAATTTACTACTTGAAAATCTCTACACAACGTCTCCGGTGACTCTCTATTATTAATCATTCTGGATATAGAAAAAACAGAGACTTGACATATCCAAATGAAGCGAGCATCATTGGTTTCTATGTAAACCGTCGCACAGGACAGAATGGAATACCGAGAAGTGCGGGGATTAGGTTCCTAGCGTTACCCCAGATCCCAGCTTCCCCAGAGTATTAGTAAAAAGAGCTTAGGCATTTGGCGGTCCACCTACACCCTAGCCCATGCCGATGTGAGATGTCCTTGCCATCGGCTCCTTTACTCCGAGCTCTGCACCTACTAAATCCCTAGACCTGAGGTCCGAGTGTTAGTCTTTGATTTGCGGCGTATAAAGAGTTCAAGGTTCAGACACCCGCGTAAAGGCACTGCTCTCTTTTGTCCCGGAAGGTCGTAATAGAATGATCAGCTCTTGTACGAAATCATTGTTCATACTTCAACCATCGAAAGTCATTAACAGCGGTTTGTTCGTCCAAGCTTATCACCATGGCCAGGAAAGCCAGCCAGACGATTACCGCATTCAACCTGTCGGTTCGTAACTGCTCATTTCATGAAAGACATACAGCAGCAATCTGACACGAGAATACGTAGATTATCCTAGCACTATGCCTGGGTAGCATGACATACGGTTATGCTTTCAGTGTCACATCTACCACACTAGGCCAGCAAAGTTGGTTTGACTATTTCGATTTGACGCAGGATACAACTTCGCCGCGATATGCATATACCAACCGTATCATTGGTGCAATGAATGCTTGCTTTGGAGTGGGTGGTTTCTGCGGAGCCATCTTCGTTGCTTGGGCTTGTGATCACTTTGGACGTAAAGCCTCCTTAATGATTGCAACGCCTATTGCTATCATTGGCGGCGCATTACAAGGTGGTGCCGCACACATTGCTATGTTCCTTATAGGCCGTCTTCTTGGTGGCTTTGCTGTCGGTTAGTTCGCCGTGAGTCCCTTCCGCTGGCACTAAAAGTGACTTTATTTATAGGTATCCTCATTGTACTGGTGCCATTGTTCCAGTCCGAAATCGCGCCGCCTGCAAGCCGTGGATTCCTTGTGTCCCAACATGGTATGAACACCTCCGACTCCGTGTGTCTTTTCCTTTCCATCATTAACCATATTAGGTGTTGTTGTTGTCTTCGGCTATGCTGTTGCAGCTTGGATCGGCGTTGCCTGCTACTTTTCAACGAACAATGCATTTCAATGGCGATTCCCGCTCTGCCTCCAGTCACTGTGGCCACTCATTATGCTGATTCTGTCTCCATTCCTACCGGAATCTCCTCGTTGGCGTATGTGTCTGATTGAAGTACAACATTGCAGATACTAATAAGCCTATAGTCCTTATGAAGGATCGCGATGATGAAGCATGGCGAACTGTTCTGAAACTTCACTCTAGCGGCAGCGATGACGACTCAGCAGCCGCAACCTTTGCCAAGGAGGAATACTATCAAATGAAGATGCAAGTTCACCGAGATCAAGCTATTGCGGCAGAAGAGACAGTCTCCACTTTGTTTACTAAACCTTCCTACCGCAAGCGAATGTTTTGTGCTTTTATGACAATGTTCGGAACCGAGTCCACGGGCATTCTAGTCATTTACAGTACGTCAGACATAGCACTGTGTCTGCATCTAATTGATGTTCTAATACTTGCACAGACTACAGTGTGCTCCTTTACCAAGGTCTTGGGTTTTCTACCACAATCTCGTTAGTGCTCGCGGCTGCATACGTGACGGTTGCATGCTGTGGGAATTACATAAACTCTCTGTTGATCGACCGCGTCGGTAGAAAGATGCTTCTTAGTAAGTACCAGTCGTAAATTGAGTCAGCGACATTTCTAATGGGCATTCAAAGTCATCGGTATGACCGGCTGTCTGGTTAGCACCATCTGCTTGGCAGCTATGACAGCTCAGTACACTGGCACATCTAATGCTGCGGGCCTACGTGCTGGAGTGTTTTTCATGTTTCTGTTTGTCGGCTTGTACGTGGAACCCTCTCAGATCCATTTCCTGTGTATACTGATCAGTTGGGTGACAGTTATGGCGGTTGCCTGGATGCAACCAGTTACGTCTTCTGTGCTGAAATTTTCCCAACTCACATTCGTGCAAAAGGTCTGGGGTTCGGCATTTCAATTCTGTTTCTCACTGTCATCGCATACCTGGAGGCAGCGCCGACCGCCTTCGCACAAGTTGGTTGGAAGTACTACCTCCTCTTCATCATCCTTACGGCTATCAACATCCCAATCATCTACAGTCTCTTCCCGGAAACGAAGGGTTTATCATTGGAGGAGATTGGTGAGAAGTTCGGTGACGAGGTTGCCGTCTACATCACTGGACTTACAGATGAGCAAAGGGCAGAGTTGGATGAGCGGATTGTTCTTGAGAAAGCATCAGCCACTCATGTGGAGAGCAAAGCACCAAACGGTGCGTCAGGCTCCAGTGGCAAGGTTGACACTGGCTCTGATTTTGCAGTATGAACCGCTGAATACGGGCAAATGCTCTGCAATAGGTGCCAGCAAGGGTTTGAAGCAATAAGAATGGATAGTTGTCTTGACTACCGATAATGTCGTATTTCGCACTTAGGAGCAAAAATAAACTCAGCCCGCTGCGTGCTTGTAGCGTACATGATTTACCATCTTTCACAGTGTATCGTCCAGTGCTATTTAGATGATTCTTCCTGCGTTAAGTGATATGGTGTCTTCCTGTTCAAGTCGATGCGGCCCTTTCGACAGTCACGTTAGGGGTGTTGCTTTTGTGTGTAGGCGCCCACTGTAATCCTTCGGTGACTTCAGACCGAGGGCTGGTCTAAAGTGCGGCGATCGCGTAGCACCACCCGAATGCGGAGGACTAGAGGGGACAAGCGATGCGGCAGCATGACCCCGAACACCCCGCATTATGCGACGCCGGACAACAAGACGAGGATGAATTCAACCGGCGTCTGGGTATTACTGCTTTCTAGACCCGAGAGCCAGCATATCAAAGAGTGAGCGCTGTGTTCCGATATCTTAAAGTCCCAATTCTACGTCGATCAAGAGAAATCGACTAAGCTCCCATTTTATAAGAATGACTGGCTTCAAGACCCCGAGTCCCGGGGAGTTGACCAAATTCTACATCAACGGCGAGTATGTGAAGGCAAGCAGCGATGGGGTCTTCACTGTTCACAACCCCAAAGACGGTACTGTTGTGTCAGATAAGATCCCAGTGGCGACAGCGAAAGACGTGGACACAGCTGTTGAAGCTGCACAAGCAGCTTTCCTCGGGGAATGGAGCGAGTTCAGCAATGCGCGGCGCGGCCAGTGTTTAAACAAGCTCGCTGATCTTCTACAAGAGCACCTCGAAGACCTCCTCAAGTTGGATTCACTCAGTAGCGGAAATCCAATCTCACTCATTCCCACACGAGAAAGAGCCTACATTGTGAATGGATTAAGATATTTTGCGGGTTGGGCCGACAAACAAACGGGCCAATACATCCCAGATGACGATGGCTTTGTCAAATTGGTTCGTCACGAGCCTCTTGGGTGAGTCTAGCAGTGTCTATGAGAGCTATCTCAAATATAAAACTAATTAACAGTAAAGAGTCTGCGCCGCCGTATGTCCCTTCAACGCCCCTATCGCCACAATGTTTTTCAAAGTCGGTCCAGCCCTCGCCACAGGAAACACAATAATTGTCAAGCCATCTGAAAAGACACCGTTAGGGACACTTGCTATCGGCCCCTTGTTTGAGTTGGCGGGTATCCCCAAAGGAGTCGTGCAAATTCTTACTGGGGCTGGCAGTTCAGGGGCACTGCTTGCCAGTCATATGCGCATCCGTAAGATCAGCTTCACTGGCAGCGTTGCCACTGGAAAGAGGATTCAGGTTGCTGCTGCTCAAAGCAATTTGAAGCGTGTGACGCTTGAACTTGGCGGCAAAAGCCCTGCAGTGGTTTTTGAAGATGCCAATCTCGAGAACGCCCTGACGTGGACCGTGAACGCGATTATGGCCCGATCAGGGCAAGTATGTGTTGCCGCCTCTCGTGTCTACGTTCAGAGGTCCATTGCCGACAAATTCATCGAAGAATATGCCAAAAAGATGAAAGCTGCTGCCGCGAAAATGGGAGACCCGTCTGAACAAGATACCGCTTATGGGCCACTTGTAGACAAGCTGGCCTACGAACGGGTCGAGAAGATGATCGAGCGCGGCAAGACCGAGGCGAAATTAGTTGCGGGCGGTGGAAAGCTCGGCGAGACTGGCTACTTTATCGAGCCCACAGTTTTCGTGGATCCGCGTGACGACGCACAGATCTTGCACGAGGAGGTGTTTGGACCTGTGTCCGTCGTCATTCCCTTTGATACCGAGAAGGAGGTCATTCAAAGGGCTAACGACACCGAATACGGTCTTATGGCCGGTGTATTCACGCGAGATGTCACCCGGGCCCTGCGAGTCTCGGCGAAGCTCGATTCAGGCGTTGTGGGCGTTAACTGCGTTAGTGTAGTAAGTTCCGACTCATGATTGCCCTCTACTGATCAATGCTAATAGCTATAGATGAATGTTGTAGCACCTTTCGGTGGCAAGAAACAATCTGGTTTGGGGCGAGAGTTCAGTTCGGAGGTCCTCCGCGCATACACCGAGCCCAAGACCGTATTGATCAAGTGAGTTACAATTTACGGTGTCTCAGAGTACATACGTGATCTGACAGGTTAATAGTATGAATTCATCATGAGAACTTGGAAGTCGTTGGTTGATGCCTAGGTAAAGTATGCAAAATCTTCAGATGCCATAACAAGAAGTATCATGTACTGTAGAATCACAATAGCTGATCAGAGACTTGGCTTCGGGTTTGTGATCCCAATAGATGACCTTTGATGCGGAAATTAATTCATCATTGAATATCGATATACATTTTAGGCCCCGATTCTTACTACAATCTTTTACAAAAGATATATCTGATTGTCGTAATGTAAACACGTCGAGGACCGTTGCATCACCATAGGTTTGTGCTTGGGCCAGCCCGACTTCAACATGAGTCCCTGTTGTGTCCGGGCGCACGTCCCGGGTTGGCGGCACCCCCTGTCCAGCTTAATCCCAGTGACGCACCAAGAAGCGGAGAAGTGGGGAAACGCGGGGAGGATTCACCGAACCCCAAACCCCACAGCCCGGAGTCAACAACCCGGGGGCTACTCCAGGAGTTCATACGCCTTTGGACAGGCTACCGGTGTATTCCTAGGGAATCCCTAGTAGATGGCCGTCGGGGACCGAAGCCATGGTCCACGAGGCCCACTGGGTAGGCAGAAACTCTCCATAGTAGCTATATGACCTCGCCCGATCTTTTGTTTCGTGAGTTTGTCGCAAAATTGCCAAATCATCTGCTCCGTCATTCTGATTACCATGGCTGGAACGACCGAATTAGTACAGTCCAATGGTATATTCCACGGGTTGCCTGTGTATCCGAAAGATGTGACAAATCTCACTGCAATTGTCACTGGAGCCACGGGCATTTCGGGATATCACATGCTGAAAGTCCTCTGCGCTGCTCCTGAGCGATGGTCAAAAATCTACACACTTTCGCGCCGGCCTCCTCCGGACTACTTCTTCAAGGAGTTGGGAGATGGTGCAGACCGCATTCAGCATGTTGAGGCTGACTTCTTGGCAGATCCAGAAATACTAGCCAAGACATTGAAAGACACAGTCGACAAAGTGTAAGATTATTTGTTTGAAAATAGCCCCTAGCATAAATCAGATTTGCTAATGTGACTTCAAACAGAGATCATGTTTTCTTCTTTTCCTACATGCAGCCCGCTCAAAAAGGCGGTGTCTTGGGAATGTGGTCCGAAGCGGATGAATTAGCCAAGGTTAACGGTTAGCAGTCTCAAAAATTGTTCCACAAGTATACGCTCACTCGCTGATACTTCACAACAGGAAACCTGATCGCGAACTTCCTCGAGGCTTTGAAGTTAGCCAACTTGGCCCCAAAGAGGTTTCTCTTGCAGACTGGAGCCAAACACTATGGCTTTCATATCGGCCCAGCAACAAATCCCTCTTTCGAGAGCGATCCCCGGATTTTGCTCGAGAACAACTTCTACTACCCTCAAGAAGACCATTTAGCCAAGTACTGTTTAGATACTGGAGCGCAATGGAACGTTGTACGACCGTCTTACATCATAGGGGCTGTGCGAGATAATCTTCTCAACCACATGGTCGGCATTGGCGTATATGCTGCAGTTCAAGCCAAGCTCAACCAGCCTGTGAAATTCCCCGGAGATTATATAGCATGGGATAGAGAGTTCTGCCAGAGCACCGCAATTCTGAATGCATATCTTGAAGAATGGGCGGTCCTGAACCCGAACGCTGGTAATGAAGCGTTCAATGCTCAGGACGGACTACCTTTCACGTGGGGTCGACTGTGGCCTTATCTCGGTACATGGTATGGAACATCTTGGACAGCTCCCGAGAACGATCCTTCCAAGTACAGAGTCTCTGAGTCAAGATGGAAGGAAACTCCAAGAGGGTAAGTACACACGCCTTAAATCCAAGGCATTTTGATCCTAGAATAATTATTTATTTCCACAGCTACGGCCCACAAGGAGTAACCCAGACTTCTTTCAGCTTGCTTGAATGGTCTGAGGACTCGAAGGTACAGGGAGCGTGGAAAGAGCTTGCCGAGAAACATGGTTTGCTTTTGGACCCTTTCAAGGATGCCGCACGGCGAGCACAGATTTTCGCCATGAGTGACTCTGCAATTATCGGAGGGTGGGCTCTCTCACTCAGCATGCGAAAGGCTAGGAAAATGGGTTTCCATGGCAGCGTCGACTCTTATGAGTCAGCTTTCCATACACTAAGAGATCTGTCAAAGCTCAAGGTGTTACCGCCTCTAGCCGTAACAGAATATGTCGAGTGAATTGTATCTAAGTAGCTACGGGAGGAGGGAAAGAGAATGGGGTTAGCCGACTGAAATTTGCGTAGTCAAGTAATGTCCGAATACGAAGCTGTCTAAGAGACTCGGGATTGTCAGCTCCTCTACCTTGCATGTCTGCTTTCAGAACGACTCAATGACTAGATCATGACCGAGAATGTTGATAACGTTACCGCTAATGGCATCTCTGCCACTACTAGTTGATTACTTGTCTTTCATTACCCTGCTATACTATTGACTCTAAGCCCGGAAACTTTCTGAGCGAGCTTGTTTAGAAAACACTCAGCGACACAACCAGTTGCAAAGTCTCCACCAACCTTGCAAGTAACTATCTACGGTTCATGCGTAAAATAGTTGCCAGTCAGTGTAAACTAAACCTCATTAATCGTGACCCGTCCCTAACCTGATTGAGCTTCTCGAAGCTATGAAAATTTGATGTCCCGTGTTGATATACAACTTGAATCCTCTCTTGGAAATAGCCTTAAAAAAGTTCAGTATTGTGAACAAGGATGAGATGAGGCAATTTTGACCGGTGAGCACAAAATGTCATCAATGATGGAAGCAGTTCGGATACATCAGGCAGCACGTCACGGTTCATCCGACCTTGGTGCAAAATATACGCAGAATCAGGCTAGATCAAGCCATAGTAGATAATTATTGGTAATATCGAAGACACCTTGGTGGAAACTTTCGCGAAAAAGGTCAACTAAATCCAGCAGGATGCGGGTCATGCGGAGAATCTCAGTCAGCAAGGATCTGGACTCGATATACATGCAGTGGTTATGCATAATCTTGGTCCGAAGTTCTCATTGGGGTTTTAAAGCCAAGCTTTCGCTGCCTGACAGGTCTTAATTAACAGCGCATTATGACAGGACATATGTAAGATCTAGCGAATGCGCCTGCCAGATGTAGCGCGTTAGTGGACGGGTTTTACCTGTTCTAGAGCAAGATACTATTCGCCAACTGTGGAGATAGAAGTGCATGATGATGTTAGGCCGCCACCAGGTGTGATTCCCCGGCAAAGCAACATCGGGAAGATGCATCTCATGATTCTAAAATATCGGATGTCACGGCGTAGACCAATTGTTGCGCTCAGGAGGTCTTGCAGTCGACTGCAAGGAAAGCATCAATTCATCGCGCAGACGTCCAGATTGTGCCAAAACTGCATAGCATTTCTTGGTTTCTAGTTACCCCATTGTTGACACATAGTTCTAGGTAATCCGTCAAGATGTGACCATTGAACCATTGCCATCGGGAAGCCTTCCGCGAACTACGCTTCCTTCAGACACCCGTACCCAGAACCGGTGAGCTCATTTCTGGAAAGGATTTCTCACCTTGAGGCGCCATGCTTGAATTGGAAGGCGTAGCAATTGATTTTCAAAGAATGCGAATCTCACGAAATGCACACGTGCGACCGCACGAATCATCTTTAATTGCCATGACTACCTCGTACAGGGTCACAGTTTTAGATAAGAGCCTCAAGTCTCGACAGACGACGCGACCGCCTATGAATGCATTCTCTTCAACTCTTTCTCCTCAAACACTGTCGCTTGTAAAATGCAGCAATCACGGTTTCTGAGTTTTGGGGGCATGCTGCTTCTCCTTCATTCGAGAGTCCAAGCGGCTCTTGATGGACACTGCCCGCCCCTTGGGCCCGTCCTTCCGGCGCCAACTGCACCAAGCTCCAACCCAGCAGTTCAGTCAGCCGTGGCCAAAGCAATGACCCTCTTAGATGACATGACGGCTGGATTTAACGGCTCCGCTCTCGCAGTTGGAGTTAAATCAATTCATGAAGACAACCTGTTGCTAGAGTATAGCTATACCCCGCCAAATGTTGACCCTCGAGGTGTACAGAAGGTGGATTCAGATACAGTCTTCCGTCTCGCAAGTGCGTCCAAAGTCTTCCCGGTCTTGGCTCTCTTGCAACTCAGTGGAGTTGATCTCAACGACCCTGTAACCAAATATCTCCCCCAGCTCCGGTATCTCAACCAGGAGGCGCGTGCCCAAAATCCTATTTGGACTATTGATTGGGATGATATCACACTCGGGGCACTAGCTTCACACCTTGGTGGCATAGGCGGGGATAGTGAGTTGCACGTCGTGGATATGAGCTTCAAAGTATGAGACTGATAAAAGATAGTGGTCACGGACCTCCAGCCTTATGGAAATTGGACCGAGCTGGGCTTCCCTCCTGATGATCCATCTAAAGATCTTGGCTGCTCGGGGCTCTTGGGGCTTCCTCCATGCGATGCTAGTGGTATGTTACTACCAACTATATGCACGAAAACGTGGTTCTGACGATATAGTATTCTGGGACCGCTTTGGCGAGCGGCCCCCTGTATACCTCCCTTTCTCTTCCAGTGTTGTCTATTCCAATATTGGATGGGCGGTCATCGGATTTGTTCTGAAAAACGTGACCGGACAAGATGCAGGAGAGTACATCAAAAAGACTATCTGGGAACCCCAAGGAAGTAAGTGCGTTTTGAGCTTCCGCTTTGTACAACTTTATCACGAGTTCTCATTCCACTTCTGTAATGTTCAAAAATGCAACTCTGACGCTAGCCACCATAGTGACTAATACATTTCCGTCTAAGCCGGACGACAACTTGGGATTCATTCCCGTAGACGATCAATGGTGGTAAGCAGTTCTCCAAAACCACATCTATTTATGGAGTTTCTCGTAAACTCTGACCGATACACTGCTTTATCAGCATTGTTTCGATAGCAGACTTTATTATTCTTCGTTCGACTTGTCTTCTAGGTGATTGCTAACTACATGTGTGATAGGAACGCATCCATTGGCTTTGAAGCTCCGTGAGTCTAGTTCTCCCGAATATAGATATGATTGTTAGCTTATCATGTTCATAGTGCCGGCAATTACTACTCCACGATCAATGATCTGCACAAATTTGGTGACGCCGTGCTTCTTAACAAATATCTGAGTCCTGCAAAGACAAGAAAGTGGCTCAAGCCAGCCACTGGCACATCCTCGGCAGGGACGTTCATCGGCACACCATGGGAGATCTACCGCGCTCATAACGTGACCAAAGACGGGCGCCTCATTGAATTCTACACCAAAGGCGGAGACCTGATCACATACCACTCATTCATTGTGCTCATACCAGACTACGATCTTGTCATCACGGTCTTGAGCGCCGGTCCAGAGAGCGATAGCGTGCCCACTCTAGTATGGTCAGAGCTTGCCACGGCCCTCCTTCCCAGCATCGAACAAGCCAGCAAGGACGAGGCACAGCCGGTGTATGCCGGGACGTATAGTGATGAAGGAACCAACTCGACAATCGTCCTCTCCTTGGACGATTCTCCCGGGTTTTCAGTTGATACCTGGATCATCCGTGGCGTCGATATTATCAACACCTATTTAAGCATCAATCTGCCACCGGTTTTCCCCACACCCGAAGGAGAGGTGCGCGTCCGTATGTACCCAACCGACATCAAGACAGACAAACAGGAATCGTGGAGAGCCGTTCCTACCGTCGGCACTCCCGAGGAGATTGAGGCTACAAATGCCTTGCTGTTCTGGCAGGATGGCGCCTGTCTGACTTGGGCATCTATGGATAGATTCGTGTATGAGTTACTATCGAACGATCACTTTGTCTTCAGTGTGTCCGACAGTGGTGGAAATAAGGTAGCTACGGCACTAGAGGCTGTCGGTTACAGAGCGACGTTGGGGAAGGCCAGCTAGTTCCATAAGTACTGAAGAAGTCCATGATGGTATTGAAGACCTCAGATTACCTGTTTCCTGCAATCCACTTGAATAACTGAGATGGTATATAAGTACCCCGAGATGCTGGTATGCCGTATCGGCAGGGGACACAAATTCTCCCAACCCTAACCCACCAAAGCGGGCGGGCGGGCGGAGCCGGCGTGGTGGACCTGGCGGATGCCCCACCACGGCGAAGACCACAACAGTCGGCACAATCACAGACAAAACGACATATATCATGACTATTCGGAGGAAGAGCTCTCTGGCTGCGGCCAAGAGGATACAGGTCCAAGTCACTTCGGACGCTGAGGATGCGCCGAAAATCGTGAAGAAAGTTGTCCGTAAAACATCAACACGCGTCGAGGTCGACGCGTCATGGACGAACGACGCGCCGCCATCTGAGGAAGAAGCACCACGACCAGCAAAGCGACTCAAAACAAGCGCATCTTCACACAATGGAGTATCTCAGCTAAATGGCCGCCTTTTCGGTCATGGGACGACCAATTGGAAAGCATGTGCACCACCGGCCAGACGGCATGCCGTGGAGTATCATCGGCCACTGCTCCTTGACGGCGAGCAGGGTAGAGCAGGTCGCGATGTGCTGCTGAAATGGTTCGACAGCGTCAGCGCCGCGCGCGCAATGCCATGGCGCAAGGCGTGGATCGACCCGCAAGAGTACAGTGACGCGGGCGAACTCCGGCGCGTCCTGGAGAGGCGCGCGTATGAGGTCTGGATCAGCGAGATCATGCTACAGCAGACACGCGTCTCAGTTGTTATTGACTACTGGAATCGGTGGATGGCGAAGTGGCCGACTATCCAGGACCTCGCAAAGGCCGATGAGCAGGATGTGCTGAGCGCCTGGCGAGGTTTGGGATACTACAGCCGCGCGACGAGGATTCACACTGCAGCGCAGAAGGTTGTGAACGATAAAAAGATGAATGGCCTCTTGCCTGAAACTGCCGAGGAGCTCGAGGCAAATGTCCCAGGAGTCGGCCGCTACACTGGAGGCGCCATCTCAGCCATCGTCTTTGGCCACGCAGCGCCGATGGTGGACGGCAATGTGCTGCGTGTTCTGAGCCGGCAGCTGGGGATCTTGGGTAACGTTAAAACAGACAAAACAGTTATCAGCTCCTTATGGGCTGCTGCAGATGCACTTGTGAAGGCAGTTGCTGAAGACGCGTCGGAAGGCACTGACGTGACGCGTAGGAGTGACGGTCCTGGCCGCTGGGGCCAGGGGCTGATGGAATTAGGGAGTACCGTGTGTGCCCCGAAACCGAATTGCTCTGCATGTCCTGTTACATCAACGTGTCGAGCATACGGCGAAGGGTTGCTGGTGGCCACCAAAACCAAGAAGGATTCACTGGGGGACATCGAAGAGCTTTGTGATTTGTGCGAGCCAATGGAAGAGGTTGACGCGGCATCCGATGAAGAGGATGGTGACGAGGTTGATGGCTTTGCAGAAGCAAAGACAAAGAAGAAACCCCAAGGCAAGAAACAGGCTACCCTTTCATCGTTCTTCGGACAATCAGGGTCGACAGCGAAATCGGCAAAAACTTCAACACCGGGAACTTCAGGAAAGACTCTAGAGGTGGCTGTTGATCACGCTCGGAAATTCCCCGTCAAGGCTATCAAAAAGGCTGTACGTGAAGAAGAGACGATAGTATGCGCAATAAGGCGCAGTGATGGGTCCTACTTGATTCAGAGACGTCCCGACAAAGGTTCGTTCATCACTGTTGTGCGAGGCGCTTCGCTTTTGATACATTGCTGACGCTTCCTCTAGGTCTACTTGCTGGCCTGTGGGAGCTTCCGAGTCTCATCTTACCGGGTACAAACGATAGCACGCCGAAGTTGCGAAAGAAGGCTGCGCAGGAATTCGTCTCTGGACTTCTCAGTAGCGAAGGAAAGGGTCGTCCGAAAGACCAGTCGGGGAAGCTGCCGGCGGGGCTAAGGCACGTTGGAGAACTTGGTAGTGTGCCATGGTTGTTTTCTCATATCAAGCTGACTATGCATGTTCAATTCTTCGAGCTCGAGACCGAGACAGGTGATGCAGAAGCGTTTGATATCAGCGGTCGGCTCAGTCGGTGGGCTTCAGGCGACGACATTGAGCAAGAGACGATGGGAACAGGCATGCGGCAGTGCTGGACTCTTGCCAAAGAAGTCGAGCCGTGAATACGAATATCAATGCGGACGTGGTCAAACGCGTATGAGCCCCAGTCACGAGCGTCCGTCGATGAATGTTTAGAAATGTGACATGAAGAAGTTGTCGCAGTCACTTGTACACTAACATACTCTGCGTTCACGGTGTCTTGATTTAAATGAGTCATTGGGATACGTCGCTAAAGAGTCAAGATAACTAAGACAGCATTCCTCAAGACTCAAGATCTGTTCCCTAAATCTTAATACTCAAGTTTATTTGCTAGCTGCATCGGCTCGAGCGGCAACTATGCCAAGCTCAGCCTAAACGCTTGAAATGAGGCGCCCTTTTACGTGCCTCTCTAGCGCCTCATCTGCCGGTCCCCCACTAATGTGGCCGTTTTTGCCGCCTCCCGGATCTTTGAATCTTCAATCTTCAAATCTCTTTTGGAGGCGACTTTGCAACGGCCATGCGACGACCATCATGCGCATTTCCTACGTCCATGCGCTCTTCTGGATCGTGTGGCTGTTTCTCCTGATTTTCAGCTACTTCAACTCGTACGATGACCCCTCCTCCATCTTCTACGACACGCGCCGCGCCTACGAGCAGCGCTTCTCGCTCGTGAGATCCGCCGAAGCCGACCAGTTCCTCAAGCAGCCTTCGGGCGTGAAGTCGTCAGCCTCGCAGAAGGACAAGCTTCTATGTATCGGAATCCCCAGCGTCAATCGCACCTCCGAGTCCTTCCTCTCGCACACCGTCGCTACGCTGACCGACACCCTGACCCCTGACGAGCGCAAGTCCGTCCATATCGTCGTCCTCCTCGCCGACAAGTCCCCGCAAGCACATTTCGCGTACGGCCAGAAATGGCTCGATCAGATTGTTGACGAAGTCTTGGTGTATGACACCGAGTCAACGCCCTCCAACATCAGCGACGTGTACCGCACGATTCCCTTCAACGTCTACAAGGACCCGCGTGGCGACGGGCGGGTTGAGAACATGCGTCTCGACCACTCCGTGCTCGTTGAGACGTGTCGCAACTACGGGTCACCCTACTTTGCGCTCGTGGAGGACGACATCGTGGCATCGCGGGACTGGTTCCGCCGGTTCAAGAAAGGGCTCGCATACACGGAGAGCCAGTCGGAAAAGACACAGACCGACTGGATGTATCTACGACTGTTCTACTCGGAGATCTTCATGGGGTGGAACAGTGAAGAATGGCTGACGTACTCGGAAACAATCTTCCTGGTCTACGTCGTCATCCTAGCCCTATTCCTAGAGGCTCGGAGGCGTTGGAAATTTGGTGCTAGGTCTGGCGCTTCAGCAGCCGAGTCGAATATTCTCGCAGCAGCGGTGTTCGGTCTTTGGATACCGGCGATGATTGTCTTGTATTTCATGGCAGGACGAGTGTCAGTGAACAGACTCATCCCGTGGCCCAATCCCGGCGCGCGCGAGATGGAGCGCTACGGATGCTGCGCGCAGGGCCTGGTTATCCCCGAGAGACACCTCGAAGGATTCCAGAACCTACTGAGGAACCCTCCGTATGACTTTGCGGGAGACCAGAAACTAGAAGGTTATGCGGAGAGCCGGGGATTGAGGAAATGGGCTTTGGAGCCCAGCGTGTTCCAGCATGTTGGCCTGAAGCAGTCGTCTGCTGGAGATGTTCGAGCTGAGGTATGGAATTTTAGCTTTGAGCGGCAACACAAGAGATAGCACGATATAGTCCAAACACCTCAAATGTGTATATATCTGTATATAATGTAATGTCCAAATGTCATTCAATCTAGATTTTGATCAAAGAGCGCTTTGTGACACCAAGCATAGCCCAGCTTCAATTCCATCAACACACTTCACAATGCGGCCGCTAGTCCGCCTCCTAAACCCGACCTCGTTGTAATATCTCCGTGCGCCGCTACCGTGGTAGCCCTGTAAGGAGAACCGGGATGTAGGTAGGCTAATCGCTGCATATCAGGGGCCATTTCGCTTGGTTCCGGCGCAGCCAGCTCATCGAAATTAGACGTTTTACGTCAGACAGAACCTAAGCTCAGCACGATGAGGAATCCTACCTCGTTTCCCCTGCATCTTAATTTATTATATTGGAGACCTCTTGTTTTTGTGATCTCATGCTTGACTGCGTTGTAGCGCCCTGTGAGTTGCTTGGCACGAAGCAATGGAGAGTGTCACTGTCGCGGTTGTTGGTGCTGGTAGGTCACCAAACGGATCCCACGCAAAGGCGGATGCGCTAATGCTGTCAAACCAGGCCCCGTAGGGCTGGCTGCTCTGAAGTGTCTAAGAGAAGAGGGCTTCGCGGCTACAGCTTTCGAGAGCAGAGATGACATTGGAGGAGTATGGAACTACTCTACAGAGCCAGGAACAACAACATGTCTGAAAGGTACGCCAACTCGTCGACCTTGAAACGACAGGCCAATACTGACATGTCTAGATACGGCACTCAACAGTTGCAAATTCATCGTATGCATCACCTACTTAGCAAGAAAAGCTCAGCAGTGACAGCTAACAGATCTCCATAGTCTCACTTCTCTGATTTCCCCTTCCCTTCCGGTATGGTCTATCATCGTACGTGTCGTGATGTCTCTCCACTGGCTAATTGAGACGACTTAGATTATCCTCTGTATCCTACCGGTTCATTAATGTGTCAATATTTGAAGGACTATGCAGACCACTTCCACATCAGGGAGCACATCGAGGTGAGCAGTAGCGTAAAAAGTATTGTTCGCGACGACAAGACCGGAAAATGGCAACTCACTATTGCATCAAATGGCACATCGTCGATACGGGAGTTTGACAAGATAGTCCTCTCTACTGGTTTAGTTCGCAAGCCCAGTCGGCCTACATATGAGGGTATGGAGGCATTCCAGGGCACAATAATCAGTGGGCAAGACTACAAGTCGTGAGTGACTCATCAGATTCCATACGGCGATCGCCTCTTCTAACTAGGGTAGCAACGAGCCTTTCGCAAAGAAGAACGTCCTAGTCGTCGGCATCGGTAATACTGCAGCAGACGTCGCGGTCGAGCTCGTCGACGTTGCTTCCAAGGTGTACATCTCTCACAGGCGTGGCGCTATGGTCCTATCAAGAACCCGTGCCGGCGGTCCGGTAGAGCTCACTGTGAACTACCACACTTTGAGGTTCATGAACTGGCTCGAGGACAAGGCCCCATCAGCGATGGTCAAGATCACCGATTCTTATCTGAAAGGCTTGTCCAAGAAAGCGTGGGAGACGGATCCACTGTGGAAGCTGGAGCCGGTGCCATCCATTGGAATTGTTCTCCCTGTCGTCAACGAAGACCTAGTCCCATGTTTCGCCGCTGGCAGTGTAGCATCTGTGGCGGGTCTCCGCCGTTTTGTCGGCGCCAAATCCGCTGAACTGGAGGACGGGACTATCCTGGAGGACATCGACGCGGTGGTCATGGCAACAGGGTATTCCTGCGACCTGTCTCTCACACCGTGGCTCAACAGGCGCTCGCCTGCGAACTACGATGGTCCACCCCTGCCTGACCTCTTTTTGCAGATCTTCCCGCCCGAGTATGCCGATAGCGTCGCCTTCCTGAACACGTACAACGCAGCGGACTGTGCCTGGGTGCTCGGCGAACTATGCGCCATGGCCATAACCCAGCTATGGGCTGGCAAGTCATCCTTCCCATCACGAAAACACATGGAGGCGTCCATTAAGAAACAGACCAAGCTCAACGCAGACACTTGGACGGCCCATCCCACCTCGGAGAAAGGCCTGGTTCGGCCGGGCGAGTTCTACCGCTTCATGCACAGCAAGGCAGGCACGGGCATCCGCGAAGCGTTGAGCTGGGGCCTCTCGGGATGGAAGTTCCGGCTACGAGACCCAGAGATGTCCAAGTTGATGGGGTGGGGTATTGTATCTCCTCATATGACGCGACTGGTTGATACCGGCAAGCGCAAGGCGTGGAGTGATGCACGGGATGCGATCAAGAGGGCGAATGAGGAAGCGAAGTTAGTTGATAAGAAGCCGAATAAGTTTAGACTTGATACCACGACGAATAAACAAGTAGCCTAGTTGGATATGGGGCCCATGTTAGATGGATGAAGTTGAATTTGGATTGGAGTTTTGATCTTAGTATGGATATACCACTTGAATGTTTTATCTGTATTCTGAATGATATAGTTCGTTCTGTCTGGGCTTCTTTGTATCCTTTGCCTTTTCAGTTGCTTGCTGGTACTAACGAAACTTGAACGAGAAGTAGCTGGAATCTGGTCCCTCGAGATAATATGGCGCGGGGCGTGAATTTCGATACGAGACTGCGGCCGTCATCCAAAACTTGGCTATATCTTTAATCTTGGGACGCTTAAGCTTTAGAAAAGAGGGCGCACCGGATACGCTCTCGTGGCTCAAATATTATAATTATCATATTGGGAGAATCGCTTCGAGACGTCATGCAGCATTAACTTTGTTTCTTTGCTATTGTCAATATTCATACCCTAGAACATAAGAAAATTCTAGTCAACCAATGTAAGTCGGCTTGAAGGTGATTATGAGCATTAGAGCGATAATTGCGGCTCGGCACGTTGAACAGGACCAGGATGTCAATTCCAACAACATTGAAACAGCCAATGAAAGTGATCGGCCACAACGACATCACTATCACACATCACGCAAGCAACCCAACCCCGCCCCCGTTATACATCAAATGTCAAAAGAATACCAACTCCGCGGAGCCGGGACAAGTTTGCCGCATGTCAAACCAAGCCGGCTGTCATTTCATTGAGCGGCAGAGTCTCCCCATGCTGCCTTGGAAAATTCCCTGGTATAGAACACCGCCAAGTGATTTGCCATCAAACTAGATATTGTACAATCTTGCCCAATGTTAAGATAAATCACCGAAATAGAAAGTAGTGCGGATTTCACTTATCATTGCCAAGACTTTGGGGTTCTTCAATTCGTGGGTGAAGATCGACACATCACAACTTGCATCATGACTTAGACTGATCACGACAAAAAGCCAAGAGGTGGGGGTTGTAAAGGAAGCATGTTGCCGGCACAACAATAGCACATTATAAGGATTGAATCGAACCGGGTTGTTGGAGCAGTTTCCACCGGCTGAACATCGAGCTGGAAGAGCACATAATGGCTAGGTCCGACAAGGAACAAGCTGGTCCCGAGCCAGTGGCCACACCAGTCTACGACTCCGATGACAAAGCTGTCAATGAATTGCCCACAGACTCAAAAGAACTCGAAGAGACCCGTGAAAAAATTCTCCAGCGCCAAGCTGAGTTGCAGTCTTCTGAGCCACCAGCCCATGCCATCGCCAGTTTCTGGCGACGTAGCAAGGAGAAGCGCCGCCACGATGAGATCGCTACTCAACCTTCGGTCTATGATGACCCGGAAACCGCCAAATACTTCAAGCCCAGTCCCCGGTACGAGAACCTTCACCGATTTGATCCATCTTTCCGATGGACCTGGGGTGAAGAGCTTCCTTTGATTGCTCGCATCGACTGGAAAGTCACCGCCTGGTCATGCATTGCCTTCTTCGCGCTCGATCTTGACCGGAGCAACATCTCGCAAGCAAACACGGACAATTTTCTGGAAGACTTGGGACTCGACACAAATGACTACAATCTTGGAAATACTGTGTTTAAGACCGCCTTTCTACTGGCGGAGCTACCATCTCAGCTCGTTAGCAAGAAGATTGGCCCGTATGTTGAGATCTCGATTCACAGGTGAAGCTCGAGACTAATCCCAAAAATAGAGATCGATGGATCCCGGCGCAGATGATTCTTTGGAGTTTCGTCAGCGGCTCTCAATTCTGGCTTAACGGTCGAAAGTCGTTCCTAGTTACTCGCGCACTCATTGGGATCCTGCAAGGAGGTTTCATCCCAGATGTGATTTTGGTGAGCTTGCTAGCCTTGACAGCAGCTTTGACCCAAAGGCTAATGAATGTAGTATCTGTCTTATTTTTTCAAGGGGTCCGAGTTGCCCTTCCGCCTGGCACTATTTTGGATGGCGAATCGCCTGACGGATGTCATCGCTCCGCTACTAGCCTACGGGCTATTGCGACTTCGTGGAGTGCACGGGCATGAAGGCTGGAGATGGTACGCTTCACTGAACCACGGCAGACCCTACCAAGCTAACAGATATCAGGCTATTCCTACTTGAAGGTGTTCTCACTCTTGTCATCGGTATATGGTCCGTGTTTATGATGTGTCCGTCGCCAACACAGACCAAAGCATGGTGGAGACCCAAAGGCTGGTTCACGGAAAGAGAAGAAAAGATCATGGTGAATAGGATCCTGCGAGATGACCCCTCAAAGAGCGACATGCATAACCGACAGGCTATTACACCAAAGCTGCTATGGGAGTCACTTTGTGATTATGACATCTGGCCAATCTATATCATTGGCTTGACTTTTGGCATTCCAGCCGGTCCTCCGGATCAGTATCTGACCTTGACATTGCGGCAACTGGGGTTCGATACGTTCAACTCCAATTTGCTGAGTATCCCCTGTCAAGTGGTTACAACTATCAACGTAAGTGCGATGAAATCTGGATGTTACTTGGACAAAGCCTGACACATATCAAGATGCTACTTCTCACTTACGTATCCGAAAAGATCAATCAACGTTCATTCTCAGGACTCCTTGCTCAAATCTGGTTCCTACCTTGTTTGATCGCCTTAGCAGTGTTACCATCCGACACTAATCGTTGGGGATCGTACGCACTTGTGGTCGTACTGCTCTCATACCCATCACCACACCCGATGCAAGTGGGCTGGTGTAGTCGCAACTCTAATACCGTGCGAACCAGAACTGTCTCAGCCGCGCTCTACAACATGGCCGTTCAACTGCAGTCGATCATCAGCTCGAACATCTACAGGAAGGATGACCGTCCTCAGTATCGCCGAGGAAATAGAGTTCTCGTGGGCATCACATGCATGAACATTGTCATCTACATTAGTGTGAAGTTGTACTACGTTATCCGCAACAAGCGGAGAAACAAGGTTTGGGACGCGATGAGTGCGGAGGAGAAGGATCGGTACCTCGACACAACTACTGACAAGGGGAGCAAGCGTCTTGACTTCCGCTTTGCGAGCTAAGCGATCCCTTCTCGAGCGGCGCGAAGCATGTGTCGCAAGCTACTATTGAGAAGCTTATTTCAATTCTGACGTGGTAGCTATTAGGCAAGTCAACCTGATTCAAAATATATTCGTACAAAGAACTTTTATAGCTATCATTCAACACATTAATATATCAAGAGATATTAATTAAGTGCGTCTGTTTGCTGTGCCGGCGAGCTTCAATGGTAGCCACAGATTGTCACTTTTATCTTAATCTCTTCACCACTAAGCCTTAATTATGAGACAAGCGGGAGTACGATCTCGGCCACGCCCGGCAGCCGGACACCGGAGGACAGCTGCTTGAGGATATGGACGGCACCAATGACGGAGCTCTGATCGCACAAATTCTCGGCAGAATTTGGGGCTGTATACCCGCTAAGCCCCCACCTCCGAGCCGCTTTTTGTCCCCTCAGGAGACCCAGCTTCGTAAATCCAAGCTTGCGGCGTTCCCCAGTTATTGTCTAACTCCACTGCGCGGGAATTGGCCAAGAACCCCCGTAATACCCGAGTCTGCGACAGACGGACTTCTATAAACTCTTTCAATTGCATCATACAGTAAACGCCGTCGGTTGCGAAACGTCGGAGAACGTGCTCATTCAGTCGACCGTTCTCTTTCAAGCTGTTTGGGGCGAGTACTCTCGGTATCTCTAGAAAATGTCTCCCCATGAAAGTGCGGTGTCGCAAGGCGCGCTGCAGCAACATCAAGCGTGGTGGAAGGAGGACACTGTCTACCAGATTTACCCGGCCTCGTTCAAGGATTCTACCGGGTCAGGCGTAGGAGACCTCAAAGGTATCATCTCAAAGGTCGATTATCTCAAAGCCCTTGGCGTCGATATAGTCTGGCTGTCTCCAATCTTTGAGAGTCCGCAAATTGACATGGCAAGTCTTACTAGTTCATACCGCAAACTGTCCCCCATTCGCTACAAATGCCGCGAGAATAGATGCCTATATTATCGCTGACTTCTCCCACCCCAGGGTTATGACATCAGCAACTATTACAAGATAGATCCACAGTACGGTTCAATCGATGATGTCGATGTGTTGAAAGACAAACTCCATGAACGGGGGATGAAGTTGGTTCTTGACCTTGTTGTGAATCATACAAGTGACCAGCATCAGTGGTTCAAGGACTCGCGTAGCTCCAAGGATAACGAGTATAGAGACTGGTACATCTGGAAGAAGCCGAAATACGATGCCCAGGGTAACAGACAGCCGCCAAACAACTGGAAATCCCACTTTCAAGGTAAAAGCTAACATATTTCAATGGATCATAAATCGGTAAGCTGATATATGTTGCAATACAGGGAGTGCCTGGGAATTCGATGAGCTCACTGGAGAATACTATCTACATCTCTTCTGCAAAGAGCAACCGGACCTCAACTGGGAGAATCCCGCTGTTCGCAAAGCCGTCCACGAAACCGTACGATTCTGGTTAGATCGTGGTATTGACGGCTTTCGACTTGACGTGATCAATTTCATCAGCAAAGACCAAGGATTTCCCGACTCAACTAGGGGAGTTCTGTCTGGCGCTGAGTATTATTCAGCAGGACCGAGGCTTCATGAATATTTGAAAGAAATCGGCGCCATTCTGAAAGAGTACGATGCTTTTAGCGTTGGCGAGATGCCGTGCGTGAACGACCCGCAAGAGATAATTAAGAGCGTTAGAAGCGATAGAGGCGAACTAAACGTGATCTTCCATTTTGAGCTGTAAGTGATTATGTGTGGTGTACTCGTGCATCGCCTCTTGAGTTATGATTATGTGCTCATATTATCTCAGGATGGATCTCGACCACGGACCGCAGGGCAAGTTCTCACCCCGTACTTGGTCTTTAGGAGAATTGAAGTCTACCGTTGATAAGTGGCAACAATTCATGTATGCGAACGACGGATGGAACGCTCTTTACATTGAGAATCACGATCAGCCACGATCAGTCAGCCGCTTCGCAAATAATGACCCTGCATATCGCGCCCAGAGCGCAAAGATGCTGGCTCTGTTCCTTGGCCTGCAGGCGGGCACACCTTTTGTGTACCAGGGCCAAGAGCTTGGAATGCACAACATCCCGAAGGATTGGCCCATGGAAGAATATAAAGATATAGACTGTTTGAATCATTGGAAGTAAGCAACCAATTGCAACGACCCAGCTTTGAAAAGAATACCGCTAACATGTTCCAATAGGCTATACAAAGATACGGCCAGTCCTGAAGTGCTTGCAAAATTAAAGCAAGAATATCAAAAGAAGTCCCGCGACAATGCTAGGACACCTATGCAATGGGATTCAAGTAGTAATGCAGGCTTCACACTAGGCCTGCCGTGGATGTCGACCAATCCGAACTACGAAGTCATCAACGCCGCTGCTCAGGTGGATGACAGACAATCCGTTTTCAATTGCTGGAAGTCCGTGTTATCGGCGAGAAAACAGCACAAAGACATATTCGTATACGGAAATTTCCAGCTGGTAGATGAGCGGAACGAGAAGATATTTGCATACTCGCGCAAGTCTGCTGATGGGCGGATAGCACTGGTTCTTTGCAACTTTTCTTCTGAGACTGTCACTTTTGGTGACTTCAATGCCACAGTTGCTGAAGTTCTCCTTTCAACAGCAGATCGAACGCTAGATGATTTTGAACAGGGAAGCATCTCCCTGTCACCTTATGAAGCTGTAGCAGTGATACTGTCGTGAGTGATAGAGGATAAGGTACACCGACGAGCTTTTGACTTGATAACCTGTTGTCTTATTTTGTGGTAGCTAAGGCCGATGAAAAGTCACTGAGCGAGACGCAGATATGAGTTTTATGCGTAGATCCCATAAATTTGAGAGGCAACCTTGGATTATGGTAGATAGTAATGTTGTTGTACATCTTATATGCTCCGCGTGATTCTAGCCACTTTCCTCTAAAGCGACTCTTTATTATGTCACGCCATTGCCCAATCTTCAGATTTGTATTCCAGCTTTGACCTTCTCAAAAGGTCGCCAAAGAGGCCGCAGTTCGATTGAGAAGCGACCCCCCTCGTGACACTTCAATATGAAATGTCTGGCAATCCCATTGGCCAGGGATTTATACAAAATCTGACTATCTGAAGGATCACCTTCGAACTTTTTAGTCTGCCAGTTCAAGAGTTCTTCCATCATCTCCCCAGGGCACATGCTACCATTAGTTTTGTTGACGTCTAGTTCATCGTGCCATAGCATCCTTGCAATGCGAGGAATAACATGCACCCACGACTTCTGAACTGCGTGCTTTTTTGGGACCACATAACACAAAAGGTTGTGCAGTGCTGGCTGACCACGCTCATCTAACCATCTTGGATCAGCTCCATTACGTAGTAGTTCTGCGACTGTACGGTCGACGCCCTGTTCGGGATCAAGATTGCTGGTAGCCAAATGTAAATAATCAACTTGAGCTACCCTAGAATCTTTTCCAAGAATATTTGGATAGTATTGAAACATCAATCTGAGTACTTCCCAATCATGTTTCGAAACGGCATAAAGAAGAGGTGTGCCAGCATTTACGTCGCAGTAAACACTGGACACTGGGATAGCGGGTGAAGGGCCCGCTAACCATTCTGGAAGTCGTCCAGCCTGTAGGATGTCTGCACCATTTTGGAGTAGTATATCGAGCAGTCTCAACTTCGCTGTCCTACTTGATGACCCATAATTAAGATCGCGAGTGTACATGACTATAAGCAGAGTATTAGCCGCAGGCTCTGGGTCAAGGGGTATATAATTGGCATTTGCTCCGGCGTTAAGAAGCTTTTCCGCAATGCCCGGTGAGCCCACATAACAAGCATAGTGTAATGCAAGATTCAGGTCGGTTATAGGCTGGTCATGCAGATCCAACAAACTTTGGCCCAGAATAAGGTCCTCCAGCCGCGTTGCTGTCCACATGTCCTCGTCGAAGTCGGATTCGCGCAACGGGGAGAGTAGTTTGACTAGATTGGCGGCATTCAGGGGTAGTTTGCCGTACAGCTGAGCATGCTTGTTCATCTCAATAATAAAGCTGAGAATGCTCGCTGAGCCTTTTTCTCTACCAATTTTCCAATAAGCTTGGATCTCCTCAGGCCTCGCCTCGAACCCTTTGCGAAGCATCAAGTCACATAACTGCAGTTGATTTTCCCGAAGCGCAATCTCGAAGCATGTCTCCCCAGACTCATTCACGAATCGAGGATCAGCCCCTTTCCGTATAAGCGTTTCGGCTAGGTCAATAAGCCGCTCTTCAAACACGGTGTAGCGCAAATCGGGATCCTGGGGCAAGTATTCCTGGAGCACGAAGAGCAATACCGTGTTTTTGTTGATTGGCGGACGATCGACATGAGAGGCGTAGTCGAGGAGTAAAAATAGAATTCTCAGACCAGAAGATAGGCGCTTGTCAGAGAGTCCCTCAAGACAGCATTCAACACAATTCATTGCGCATGAGAAATTGTCTGGTACTGATAGTCTTGATCTTGCAGATAGTAGAGCTTCAACTGCTTGCACATTATGGTACAGACAGGCCATCTCAAGGGGTTCCAGTTCCGACAACGTTAGGCTCGTTTCAACGGACGCCGTCTCAAAGACATCGACGCCTTCGGCAAGGATCCGATCAATGAAGAGACGAATTTTTGGTTCGAGAACTTCATCATCCTTGTCCTCATCCATCCAAATACCATGATCAAGACATACATAGTGGAGGGCCGTGTATTTGCCGCATCGCAAATTTGGGTTAGCACCTAGGTCGAATAGTCTTGCAGCCTCATCATACTGTCTGTATTCTATCAGATCGAACAGTAGTGATTGGTCCTGGCCTTCGTCGTCAAAAGGGGCATTTGCTGCTTGAAGTGTGTCTCCACGAATTACATTAATGTTTGCTCCGTGGGCGACTAGAAAGGGAGCAACAGTATCAAAATGACCATTTCTGCAGGCCCAGTGAAGGGGAGTTTGACCTAGGTCATCAGGTGTATCGATGTCTACCTGGTAACCACCCTGCACTATGAACTTGACTAACTCAAGGCAGCCTGTGCCAGCCGCCATATGAAGAGCAGTCACGACGTAGTCACGGTTTTCTTGTTCCTGCTGGGAACATAGGAAATATGATGCTCCTCGTTCCAGTAAATATTTTGCCGCTTCAACTTGTCCATGACACTAAGATGCGTTAGCTATTATTCATGCATGATACCTGTTGATATGAAAGAGAGGGCACTCACAATAGCATGGTGCAAGGCTGTCCATTCGGGCACGTCTTGACCTTCCAAGTTGTCGTACGGTCGCCACTCGTTCTCAGGCGTTTCATGAATGCTGGCCATGTCGTGCCAGTCCTGAAGTGTAGGCATACGTCGACACCAGCAATAGCCCTTCGATGGGGCATCGATCAGACTACCGCCGCTAGGGCTGCCGTCTAATAGCATCTTTATGATTTTTACATGCCCATTGGCAGCCGCAGCATGTAATGGGCTGAAGCTGATCGACGACGCTCTCGAATCTCTTGCGAGGGAGGACTCTGTGGCACGTTGGTGGAAATTGTCTAGTAACGATGACTCTCGGTCGTCTGGAGTCTTGACGGTGCCATCCTCTGCAAAGAAACATGTGTCACCATCAAAGTAGGGAACGCTAACACGAAGCTGAGATGCAAATGCATTCTGGAAATAATTTAGCACCTAAAGTATGCAGCACGACTGAATTGTCTTCGAAGCTCGAGTCAGACTCACCATACCGATGCGCTGATCGTCATCATTGAACACGCCAGATGAGACATTGAGCGACCGGTAACGGCCAGCCAACCTGCCGACCTTATATGCAGTAGGAAATACCGCACCCTCTGTAATCCATTCTTCCTCTCCTATATCCCGTAGGCCAGTTTGTAAAAGATTCCGTAGCGTATCTGCCCTGCCGTTTTGAGCCGCCCAGAAGAGTGGCGCGACATAATCTGCGCCCAATTGGTACAGTAAAACATTCAAGACTGAATGGAACCTGCGATTGGTGAGAGCTAAAGCGGCGATGTCGCTGCAACACTGCCCGAAAGGCGTGACCAGATATGTCGCTGTGTGCCAAATAAGTTCGTTTGGTAGATCGCTGAAGTTGCTCATTGTAGGCAGTCTAACCAGTCTGGTTGATTGAATGCGACATCCAAAACGCAGTTGGCATTCACCCATCGGAGTATGATCCGGGGCAAATATAGGAGGGAGGCCATTCGTATGTCCGGTAAAGCGGTGAAACACGGCAAACGCGTTGATAAGACCTATCAAGGTAGGTCATAGCGTAGTCACCTGCTACTAACGCGCGCTGCAGTTGGCAAATTCGGCCAAGCTCCCCCCTTTTCCTTCAGGCCAAGAAAAATCGTCAGACACTACCCAGGAAGCTAGACAAATATGAGATAAGTCACTATAGTATAGTCTATACAGCCCCTATCACACTTGCTACAGTATAATACTCCAGCCACAGTTCTTTGTTCGCTACACTTATCATGATCACAGTAGCGGAGATGCCGTGTTTACAGGGAGCATATTCTATACCCATCACGTTGTAACTGCCATGAATGAGCTATTTGCTAGAGTGCGTCAGCTGTGGGAGTCTGGAGACCTCGACAGCCTAAGGCAAGCGGAGATTGATCTACTCCAAAGTGAATTTTAGAGAGCAGACGATCCGAAAGCCAGTGCCCGAACTATCAAGATGGAAGTGCCGGGGTATCATTAAGCTGCAATCCTTCTACGAGATAAGGAATGGTTTCACTCTGTATCCTTTATGGAGGTGCTCATGCGTGTGTCCTTTATCCAAGATCTGACAAGCGATCCATTGAGTGCGCGAGAGTTTCAAAACACCGTATCGTCGTGGAGATCCTAGAGCTCCTTCGGAAGCAGTGGACCGACGACAAGATAGATACTGCTGACTACAAATTGCAAAATGCAAACGTCCTGGCTGAGCTCAAGCTCCTATCTGGGCACCCTCTCGCAGATCTGCACTTGCCCTCGATTCCAAGCAACATTCTCGCTCCAGGTGGCAGTATTTCCGAGCTTTCGGCTTCTTTCAACTCTAGGGAGCCTGTCACCCAGCCCGGCACCACCCGTCCGTTCATCGGCGCATCGTCATTCACTTCGTCTGCGAATGGTGCAGGCGAGCCACATAAATGGCCTCCCACGACGAGAAAAAAAACTGCGCTGGATCTGCACCTTGATGATCTCAAAAAGCAAGGCAAGGCCGACGGACTGGATGACCTTGTAGTGACGGGATATTGGCTGTAGAGCTTCAAGAAGTTAAGCGGAGAGGAACGACAGCAGTTGAAAGAGTCGCGATCGAACGTCTAGACAAAGCAGCCAAAGACGGAGAAGCCATATCAGTTGACAAGTCCGCCGATGTATTTCCCTTGATTTCCACGATGGTGGTGTCGTCCCGTTGATAGAATACACGATTACCACCATCTGGGTAATTTGATTGGAGAGGGATGACGGCAAGTCCGCCACCTGAAAGCGCTGTATTGCCCATGCTCTTGATATTCCAGCTCCCCCTCAAGACCATTTCTTGTAGTTCGCCATTCGTTGACTGGTAAATCACGCTGGGCCAATATGTGACTATTTTCGCTGTAGTGAAACAGGGTAGCCAGGTCAATTCGTAATAATACAAGTCTGAGTTCTACTACTACAGTCTGAGGAGCCCTCTAAGCCTTATATAGGACAGGACCCCTGTCCCCCAACTCAGTAGCTGATAACGTAATGCCCAAGGAAAAACTGCTCCCATTACCCATCACTATGTCTTTCAAAGTCCACTCCTGGAACATATTCTGAGTTGTAAGGTAAAATAGTTCGACTTGAAATCCCTCATCTCATTGTCAGCAGAGCATCGGTGGGAGAGTCACGGCACTTACACTTTTGTCATCGGTGAATCCAAAGTAGAAAGACTCAGCAATACTGGATGCACCGAGCGGTGTGTCACTCCTCACTTGAATGTCCAGGACTTGAGGTGGTCCCCAATCACCTGCCGTGGACTCATAGCTTGAGAGGCGAATTTTGCCATCTCCACCTTGGTAGAAGACGCGAATACTGTAGTCAGATCCCGACGTCCACCCAGTGACCGACAATGCGGAGTTCTCTCGCAGTGAAACAGAAGAGGACGAAGCGGTGACAGACGGCTCTAGTGCCGCTGAATTCGAAGTTGTAGGACTCGCGGATGCGGAGGTTGAGGCAGAGGGCGAAATATCGTGAGTCGTGCGAGAACCGACGACGGCGCCAACCACTGCTGTGATGACAACGACGAGGCCAACTGCTACAGCAATGATTATTTTTCGTCGTCGTCCCTAGACCGCGCGTGACAAAAAGATCTGTCGTTCACTTCCTGCTGATCACGAGGCTTCTGGGTGTGATATGATTTCATGCCCTTGTCATTGTAATACATTGTCGCTACCTCTGGTGCATCATTATTACTGAGTTCTAACCCTACTGGTGTGACCACTTCGAGACCAGCTGGAATTTCGACAGGGAGTTTCGACCGACCAGAATTCTGTTTGATTGTTGATTATTGCCAAATACTCATGTAATTGATGAAGGTGGGTGGTCCATACGGTCATGTCAACTTGTGTAGCAAAATCACTATGAAGAAGTTGTAATACAACCACACAAGTTTAACACTTTCGAATGCCTAAGATTTGGGAAGATTTGTGTTCGCAGCATGTAAATCGTTCACGTGGAACCATTGCCGCTCAATATGGGATCTGTGATGGCCATAAAGCAAAGTCATGGAACCAACATGCATATTTGAAACCCCACCTAGACAGGGATTACCGCCTGGGCGTCTACGGGGGTTGCATTTGTATCTGACCAGGCGGGTGGCCGGCAGGCCGTTCACCGGTTAATGATCAGAGCTCGAACAAAGTTGCTCTGATCTTGCAGCAAGTCCCGTGGTAATCTTTGTCGCAACACATGGGCTCAATGACAACATCGATAAGAACCTGAGAAATGCAGTTTGCACAATTAGCGCATATGGCCACAAGTGAAGCTTTCAACTACTCGAATACCCATATTCGCGCAGAACGACTTGAAATATTATTAGCGATCACCTTGGACACTAGTTGCCCACCGTGCATGATCTCAAAGCTGATGGTACAGAAATGAAATTTGCTAGGATCAGTTCGGGTCAATCAAGTCCATTCTGTAGCACTCACCTAACAAAAAACAAGCTACACACCCCCACGTACAGCCGGATCAGTCTTGTTTAGCTTCCGCGATAATAGCCTGTTCCCCAATGTTCGTTATCATTGAGTTTGCAAGAATCATGTGAAGGGTGTATCAACTGTCGCCGGCACTTCACCCGCGTATAATCCCGTCTCGTCCCTCCCTTCGTCAAGGTACCAATAATACAGCGCGTTACTCACATGCCTTTGGACGGGGTTACCCCCATGCTGGTCTGTCCATTTCCGGACCCTGGTGCTCGCGCGCGGCTCTTGCTCCTCTTCATTGGATGATCAGGCGAAATGGTTGTGCGCTGTGGATATGGACATGATCAGGGGTCTCCAACAGGTCCAGTAATGCCAGCCGACTCTGGCTAGTTCTTTGTCATTCGCAACCCTAAATGATTCGCCCAACCATCACGTTGCAGCTGGGCGAAGTCCATACGAGCTGTCTGTCATAGGGGTCATGGGGGGCTGCCAGGTTGCTGGGACATAAAAGGTCCTTCTTAACGTCGAAGTTATCTTGATGTTAAATTTCTCCACGCCGCGCAGCCTCTACAGGCATTTCCGACCAACATGACATATTTACAACCGCTTTCACGCCTGCCTTTACCGCCATGGAGGATCTTTGTCATCGTCGCTGTTTTTTCGTTGGCCGTCATCTTCGTCCTTCCCCACCCATTTTTAGATCTTGTGAGCCTTTCGAGTGCGATGCGTAAGAATTAAGAGCTGACTATCCTGCAACCGTGAAGTCTATCCGCGGCAAATCATTGACAAACACCAACGACCGACCTCTCGTGCTCTATGCATACTCCGAGTCGGAAAATGCTCGAGAAAATTTGGAGTTCTTCATTGAAAAGGGCCTCCACGGAAGAGCCGACTTCGTCTTCATCTTCAATGGCGCCACAACGGCTAGTCAGCTTGTTCCACAATCAACCAATGTCCGGGTCATCGAGCGTGATAATACTTGTTACGATTTGGGAGCAATAGGCCAGGCTCTAAGGGAAGATGATCTCTGGAAAAAATACAAGCGATTCATGACTATGAATGCAAGCATCCGGGGTCCCTTTCTTCCCATATATAGCAAGGCTTGCTGGACAGATGTGTTCCTAGATCGCATTACTTCCCATGTGAAGGTAAGCTGCTGTTCGGTGCTGTTCGTCTTCCTAGTGCCTAATGGTGCTCACTGACACACAACCATTGTCTCTAGTTGATTGGAACTTCTATGAATTGTGTCCCTCGACCCCATGTCCAGTCAATGCTATTTGCCACGGATGACATCGGAATGTCTATACTACTTAACCCCGATCTCGCACATAGCGTGAAGCACACAGATCACTGGGGAACACCAGACGATCCCGTTGGTCTTACTGTTTGTTTCGATACTTTATTCAAAGCGGTTCACTCAGAGATTGGCATCACAGAGCTCATCAGGTCTCAGGGCTACGAGGTTGACGTCATGTTGACTTCTTTCCATGCGGCTAAGAAACCCACCACGTATTGTGAGGAAAACAATAACCCGGATGACGTCTTGTACGACGGCAAGTATTTTGGCACTACTGTCCACCCTTACGAGACGATATTCATGAAGGCAAATCGTGGTATTGGGGATACAACCCTCTCTGTGCTGACAAAATGGCACTTGGCCCGGCCAGTCAGCAGCTGGGACACGTGCAAACCGTGATCAATAAGTTGATCCTTCTAAAAGAGACTTTTAAAACAGAGGTATATGAGGCTGGACTGAGGGAGATATCGAAATCCCGGTCATTGTATGAACCATCTAGGCACGGCTATATTCGCCGATGATAAATGGGTTGATAGTTACATAATGCCGACGCTCTGGGTTCCTTCGTGTCGCAACGACACCGATGTCTTACTCCTTCCTGTAATCTAGCTTAGACTAGAAGTACCGGTCGGCAGAAAGAGCATATCCCAGGGAACTTGGAAGAGCAAAAAATACAGCTGCTGATGACAGGGAATGCTCTGCCATTGGACAGATTTGCTCAGCAAAATGGTTAGATGTTCTTCAGAAATCTGGCCGGCTCATCGAGGTAGCAACAAGTATTATCAAAGATTTAGGCCTGTATTCTTTTTGGTCGCATTAGCTTTTTGTTTGCTTGAAACAATGTCACCCGTTGGCCAAAGAGTTATTGTAAAGTAAGTTTATTCTAGGAGCATCCCTAGAGAAGTTCAAATAATGGTACGCTTGCCATAAGACAATAGAGGACCAGCGCCGTCAGGAGAGATAGTAGAATGGAATGTATAAATGGCAGCCACGCCTCAGAGACGAGCCAGAGCCAAGTATTAGTCGCCGACTTCAGGTTCCCGAGATATTTACATAGCCTACGTCATTCTCATCTCGATTGAAGTCCTACAAGCAGTAAGTTCTGCGCCTATTTATTGGATTAAATTTGGCTCAGATCACCCTGTCCAAGACACCATAAGACACATAATGAGGCATAACACCATTGACTCTCTTCACAGTAACCAATTTAACACAGTAAAATATTTCCAATCATCCTGTTACTAATACTCACCTTAATTGGAGACACCATTTCGAAATAGTCCTGTGAACACGCTTTGTTCATCCTGTAGTAGAACATTTGGCTTGCCAGTCTCGACAACATGGCCCTCTTTGAAAACAGCAACCTGGTCAAAATCGACAATACTGTCTATTTTATGAGCGATCATTATGATCGTACAATGAGCAAAATCAGAGCGGATGATAGCCTGTATCCGAGCATGTGTGTGGGCATCAACGCTATATCACAATCAGATTGAGGCTCTTCACTATTCAACCTTGAGGCTCATGGGTCCTTGAGAAATGTGGCAACTTTACCTGCTTGTTGGTTCGTCGAGTACAAGGATCTTATAATTGTCCTTGCCAAGTAGCGCTCTGGCAAGACAGAACAGCTGGCGCTCACCGTGTGATAAAAACTGTTCATCCATGACGAGTTCCAATGGATTCTTTTCCGTCGAAGATGCATTCTGTCCCTCAATATCAGACTCAGGTAACTGAGCAGAGCTGACAGAGATTCTGGCTTTCAGGCAGATGACATTCCATAGACCCACGCGTTCTAAGGCGGCGATCAGGTCACTGTCATTCAATGCCTCACCTGTAGGATCGAGATTGCGGTGGACAGTATCGGAGAAGATGAATGACTCCTGCGTTATGCATCTGATCTTGGACCGGAGGAGGGTTCGTGGAAGAGTCGTGATGTCCAGACCATCGATAGTGATGCGACCAGATGCAGGCTCTAGGAGACGTAGGAGCATAAGATGCATTGATGTTTTACCGCTAATTTTCACAGATTATTGTGTAAGTAAGTTTCTATGGCCCCCTTGACGCAGATGATGGTGGCAGAAACAAAGCCGAACTTAGGGGTGCGGAGGAACATACCTCCCCGTTCTTCCACACAATCCCACTTTCTTGCCCGGTTTGATTGACAGTGTAATATCCCTAAGTACAGGTTCAGACGTCTCCTCATACTTCACGGATACGTTTTCAAATTCAATGCCGCCCTGAGGAGGCCACGAGTGACTCGGGTTTATGGTGTTGCGTTGTAATGTCTCCTCAATTGGTGTTTCCTCTTGGAAAGCCTTTACTCTTGCAACGGCACCCAGACTTGTTTCAAGGTTTGTCCAACTCTGAACGAGGCCTGTGATAGTTTGACCGAACGAGATCATCATAACAAGCGCAACGCCCATCAGCGCTGGGCTCACAGTATCGCGTAAAGCCACGGCAAGTCCAACTAGTAGGATAGCTAGAACCGACACAACGAGGTTAAGAACAAGGCCAAGCCATTGCTGCACGCATAGAAGCAGGTAATAAGGTTTCTGTGAATCAAGAATGAGCTGTAAGGTTTTGGTCTTATACGCAGTTTTCCAGCCAAAAGCGCGAATGGTAATTAGACCAGTGAGCGACTCAGTAAAGTGGGAATACAGGGGGGCTTTCATTTCAATTCTTCCATGTGATTGGTTAGTAAGGATTTTGTTAGACTGAACGTCAAGAGAGGGTAAGGATACTGTGTTACCATGGTCACGGTGCCTGGGAATGCCAAACTTACTCGAGCAGCCTCAACTGGCGCGATGTTCGTAGGTAGAAGCGCTGGATGGAGATTAAGATCCCAACTAGGACGGGTATTGCAGCCGCGAGATATGGTACCGCAACAATCGTGACAATAGTTCCCGCCATGGTCGCAAATATTTCTAGTAGAGATGGTTAGACTAGTAAATTACATTATGACGGCGGAATGAAGACTGACGGAATGCTGTGCTGATGAATGCCGCCGGCAATACCATGTCAATCAGTCTCATATCTTGACTAAAACTTATGTCGGTATCAGCCCACTGCGCGAAATCAACCGGCAGGAAATACACATACCGGTTGACGAGCAGTCCGGTGTCAGTATTCGATAGGAATGTCATGGTTGCCCTGTTGTCTAGTCAGGATACCACGACTTCAAACAGTGAACTTGATGTTCTAGTCCACATACATCATCGTTGTTCTGAGCACAGTATTGTGAAGGCCCTTAGACGCTTGCGGAACGATCAGCACCCAGGTCCAACTAATCGCTGAAGTTAGTAAAAAATGGTCGGGCCTGAAAAATTGAGATATAGAAATTGCGATATGAATTTCTATTCGACAAACGTACAATGTCGCTATAAATAAACTAGCGGTTTCCAGAGCCCCAAAGCTCGAATAGATTCCAAGCCAGTACCCCAATCCTGAGGTTGTGGCGCCATCTTCGCTTACAGACCATCGAGTCAACCAAACATCTGGACAAATGTTAGTACCGATATTTAGCAAAAGGAGAGATATCAAGAATCCTTTGTGATATTTCAGACATACATCGCAGGGTTTCAAATCCAGATTCCATTATCAGGAATAGTACAAGCACAGCCATTCTTTGCCACCCCAAGGCCGAGGCATAATACTTCCCAACACTGAGATCCGTTGTTCCTCTAGTTTGGTGCTCAGAACTATGAAAAGTCTGGCCTGATAGTTCTTGTATGACATCTGATATTGCTGCTTGACTGCTGCAGTCTCTCTGTGTATCACTCGGCTGTTCATGCGAGACTAAGCCGCGAACGTATCCATTCTGCGCCGTGAGTTGTTCATACGTTCCTTGTTCTTTGATCACACAGTTTGGGCCTAGCACAACAATGAAGTTTGACTGGGGAAGCCGACGTGCTTGGAAATCGTTCATTAGCAGCTAGATAATGCTATGCGCAATATGTTGTACGTAATGGAAAAGATATACTCACAATTGTTAGTAGTTACTATTGCATTGCACTCCATACGTCGAAGGATACCATCCTGTCCGAAGACTCGAGTAAAAACAATTTCTTCAGTCGCACTATCGAGACCACTCAGAACATCGTCGAATAGAGCGAGACACTTTCTTGCGTAAAGTGCTCGGGCAATTGCCTGTTGGTAAGTCCATTTAGTACCGCAATAAAGATGTTTGAAGACTGGTGATAGAACTCACAACTCGTTGTTTCTGGCCACCACTCAACTTGATTCCCCTGCTACCTACTATAGTTAAATCACCGCGCGGCATGCGTGCAAGGTCCGGCTGAAGATCGCATGCATGGATGACCGAAGAGTACCACGCGTCGTCAAAGTCGTTGAGGTAAGATCCGCCAATGATGTTGGCGCGAATAGAACCATGTACGATCCATGGAGTCTGGTCACAGAAGGCGATGTCTGAGTACCTGACGCTAATCTCACCACTTTTAGAAATGGTCTCACCAAGAACAGCGTTTAAGAATGTTGATTTCCCGCAACCCACGGGACCAATAATCATAGTGAGCGAATATGGTGCGGACGCTGTAACCAGGAGATTGATCTTCTCGGCTAAAGTGCCCATTCTAGATGAAGAATTCCAAGCGAATTGCGCATTACTCATGGATATAAGCGTTGTACCGTCTGCCGGCTGCTCTAGTCTCTGCTTGATTGCTGGAAGGTTGCTGAACTCCACGCTTTCATCTACATAAGAGTGGTTTGAGGTTATGGGTGCTGCTCCATCATTCGAAAGGCCGACTTTCCTCCGTTCTATATGCGACGCTTGTAGGAGAAAGGTTTGGATTCTTTCGAGGCAACCCAATGATGAAAACACATTCGGAATTACATAGAGTACGTTTCGCAATGGGTCCAATATCAAATTGACAAGGGACAAGGCCGTCACTGTGTCGGTCATTGAAAGAAGACTATGTCCCTTGATATGAGCCACGATTGCGTAAGTTGCAAAGACTGCAATCTGACCAAGAGTAGTTGGAAAGTTCACTTTTGTAGAGTAAGTACCCAACTTAACTAATCATGAAAACACATACCTAGCCAAACCTTGAAACTTTGGATGCGTCTATATTTCTTGGAGATCTTCATCTCCGTATCGCGTGTATTGGCAATCATGCTCATGATGACCTCAGTAAGGCCAAGCATTTTGACACACTTTAACTTTCCAAGAATGTCACCTGTGAAGTTAATGCGTGTTTGCGTTGATTCGAACCATGCTTTTTGGCGCTTTGATATCAACCCGCCAACGCGAAATGTGATCCATGTGAATACTATTCTGTCAGACATTGCCCTCCGAAAGGATCGAGCTGTGATGCGTACTTACGGATAACAATGATGATCGGAGCAATGCAGACAAGGCCTATCAACTTGGCTAGCAGAAAGATTGCAAGACCAAGTTGCAAGATATCTGCCCATGTATCACATATTGTATCATGGAAGTAGTCGGCGAACGCTTCAACGTCGGAGCCCATCAGTGACATCGCACCCGACTCGCTGGTCTTTCCTGCGGGTAATGCCATCATCTTTTCGTATATCAGCGCTATGAGGGCACCACGAAGCATAGTCACAGCACGATAACCCAGTTGCCTATACACTGCAGTTGATATCTTGTGATGATTAGCATGACTGCTCAGACTCTGGCTCGCTTCTAACATACCGCCACAGAAATGAATACCACTGAGAATGCGCCGATTAGACCATATCCTGTGTTCTTTGATTTTTCTTTGTCTACGAGAAATGCAACCGTTTGCCCAATCATAAAAGGTTGTGCAATGCTCAAGCCAATGAGACACAGACGTGGTACCACTATGCCAAGAATCTCACGGGACAAAGATTTAAGAGCAATTAAGAGAAGAGTATGCTTATGCTTGTTATCGGCTGCAAAGTGATTAGCCATGTTCGAAATCCTGTGAATCTGAGACATACTCAGCTCCCAATGGTCATGGAGCTTCTTGACGAGTTCGTCGGGTGTCAACTTGTCATGCACTGCTGGAAGAATTGAGGGCGTGAGTAGCACGTTGTAACCCGTCTTCAACAGCCCAAAAAGCCAATAAAAGAGAGCTCGATTGAACAATCCGCCAGTGCTTTCTGCCGACGGGAGCTTCTCACTTAGCAGAAGCAATCGTCGTTTCTCAAAGCTTTCTAGGCATAGCAGAAAAATCCTAATTGAAAAAGAGACCGTGAATACGGCCGTGAACACATTGCTAGGCATCTGCAACCAAATTGAACGCATGCGTGCTCCATCAAGCAGAACCGTGAGTAGAAGGAAGGTGCACGCAAGAAACGAAGGTCTAATGGACCTGATATGCTCGAAACAAACGAGAAAGACAAGAACAATCGTTGCTATAAAGTCAATTGCAGCTGCTGGTAAGGATACACGCGTGTTAGCAGTTTGATGTAGTGCAACGAGAACCACAAGGGCTAATTGGAGAGCAGCCAGGAGACTTGTAGTGCCCTGTCATAGTATTTAGCGACAACTTATGCTAGCGTCTCATATTGGTCTTGCGTACTATCTTAGCGGTGTAGATCTTGGTTGCTTTGACTTGGTGAGGTCGTCGGGAAAGATGAAAGAGCCGAGCAACCGCGAGAGGTAGAAAGCAAGCTGACGGAATCAGAGTGAAGAAGCTCTCCTCGAAGAGAGCTGGGCACATGTCAGTTATTTCGTTGTAATGAAAGAGAAGCGATTGTCCTACTCGTAAAATCGAAACCTCCTCTACACACCGCAGTTAGAAGCCCAGGTCCAAATTGCGTGTCGCCACAAGCATCATCTCCAAGCCGCGTCATCTTTCAATGACTCAGTAGAATGCTCAGCGTCTACACCAGCGAGAATGGAAATAAGGTGAGTGAATCTCGTTGCACTTCAAGAGGTTGATCCTCTCAGACGCATCAAGTAAAGAAGTTATGTCCCAAGATTATCATTTGCTCAAAGTAGGTGCCTTGATGTCAGAAGACAGCTCATCTACGCCATATGTGGTTCAAAGCGTCG